ATATGACTCCGTGAAGATGGAGAAAGACAGGAACCAGATGACTGACAGGATACTGAATATCACCTTGGAGATCATCTACCTGCTGACCGGAGAGGTGAGGAGGATTCTGGGAGGTCACATGACATCACTCATCTCTATTAATAAAACACAGACCTGACCGGAGAGGTGAGGAAGATTCTGGGAGGTCACATGACATCACTCTTATCTCTATTAATAAAACAGACCTGACCAGAGAGGTGAGGAGGATTCTGGGAGGTCACATGACGTCACTCTCATCTCTATTAATAAAACACAGACCTGACCGGAGAGGTGAGGGGCATGCTGGGAGGTTGCATGACACTACTCCTCTCCCTTTGTTGTTACCTAGGATTATGTACCTTCAAAGAAGACTGCTGATGATGCGATGCCCAGCAGTAGTCCCCCTCCTGTCTCTGAGGGTTCAAGCAGGAGCCAGAGCCCCATCACAGAGCCTTCAGCTCCCTTTCTGACACCTGAGAGAGATGACAAGAAGATTCTACAACTGACCAACAAGATCATTGAGCTGCTGCTGACAGAAGAGGTGAGCGGTCCCGGGGATTATAGGACATTATATAGTAACAGACAAGGGATGGGCCTGGGTAGTGACACTCTCATTGTGTATATCAGGTTCCCGTAAGGTGTGAGGATGTCGCTGTCTACTTATCCATGGAGGAGTGGGCGTATTTCGAAGGAAACAAGGATTTCTACACTGAAGCCATGATGAAGGGTCGCCAACCTCGGGGTTCACAGGGTGAGATAATATGAAAAGACTGGCATTTGTAGGTCTTAGAAAATAAACTGGGCGCAAGTTCCTAATATTGTGTCCTATCCTTTAATTCTTGAGAATAACCTGATCAATATTCATTACGTTTCTTGCCTATCTTTTGACCTGTACAGTCTCCACTGCTGCAGATATCTTTAGTTGCCTTGTAATGGATCTCCACTTAGTCTTCTCCATCTCATCCTGTAGATCAGATTGAGCATTACAATCTGTTTGTGGCACTGTTAATATAAAGTGTTATGTTCTTCAGATGATTCCAAGGAAATTTTAGGTTGGTCATAGACCCAAGATGGTCTTGAAGAATAAATATCCGATTATTGTTTAATAGGTAGCCAGACATAGATACTCCATTTGTCAAGATGGTCCTGAAGATTAACGATCCAACTATTGCTCAATAGGTAGCCATTTATCAATACTCCTTCTGTAAACCTAAGATGGTCTTGAAGATTAATTATCCAGCTATTGCTCGATAGGTAGCCATTTATCAATACTCCTTCTGTAGACCCAAGATGGTCTTGAAGATTAACCACTTCCAGACCGGACACTTTTACCCCCTTCCTGACCAGGGCAATTTTGAATGACAATTGCGCAGTCATGCAACACTGTACCCAAATGAATTTTTTACCATTTTTTTTAGATAGATAAAGCTTTATTTTGGTGGTATTTATTCACCACTGGGATTTGTATTTTTTTTGCTATGTAAATGAAATGTCCAAAAATTTTTTAAAAAAGTGTTTTTTTTTTTTTAAAAAATTTTGCAAATAAATAATATTTCATCATAAATCTTAGCCAAAATTTATTCCGTTATCTTTTTAGTAACAAAAAAAAAATCCAAATTAGTTTATAAGCAAAAATTATAATTTTTAAACATTTTTTTTTACATTTTTTTATTTTATTTTTTTATATTATTATTTTTTTATTTTTATTTTTTTTTTTTTTACATACTGTCACCCTAGCAGTACAGTGTCACCATGGTCACACTGTACTACTTGTGAGGGGTGATAAAGATTTTTTTTTTTTTTTTTTTACACTGATTGCTTTTACACCGATATAGGATGTAAAAGCAATCATTTCTCTTTCTCTCTGTGTGCATTCCTGCACTCATTGAAAAATACAGAGTGAGCTGTGATTGGTCACAGCTTGTCACATGGTACAAGGCTTTTGTGAATAGCCTTGTACCATGTGACCTCTGTGATCATTCACAGATTTCACACATAGTAAGCAATGATGTCAGAAGTGACATCTTGCTTACTACTTTGCATGTGATCACTGATTGGCCAATCAGTGAACACATGATCGGGACCTCGTACAGAGGTCCCGTCCGACAATCGGTGTTTCACTGTGTCCGGAGGACACAGCGGGCACCGGATCGCGGTGCTGCGCGCTCCCAGGGAGCGCGCACAAGCAGGGTGCGGGGAGGCCGTTTATAGACGGCCACCCGACCCTGCACTGCCACCGTCCGGCCGTTTATATACAACGGCCGGTCGGGAAGTGGTTAATTATCCAACTATTTTTCGATAGGCAGCCAGGCATAGATACTGCTTTTGTAGACCAAAGAGGGTCTTGAAAATTAACTATTTAACTAGTGTTTGATAGACAACCAACATAGATGGTCATTTTGTAGACACAAGATGGTCTTGAAGAATAACAATCCAACTATTGCTCAATAGGCAACCAGACATAGATACTCATTTTGTAGACCCAACATAGTCTTGAAAAATGATGATCCAACTATTGCTTGATAGATAGCCAGACATATACCCAAGATGGTCTTAAAGATTAACGATCCAACTATTGCTCGATAGGCAACCAACATAGATGGTCATTTTGTAGACATAAGATGGTCTTGAAGATCAATGATCCAGCTATTGCTCGATAGGTAGCCATTTATCAATACTCCTTCTGTAGACCCAAGATGGTCTTGAAGATTAATAATCCAACTATTGTTCGATAGGCAGCCAGGCATAGATACTGCTTTTGTAGACCCAAGATGGTCTTGAAAATTAACAGTCCAACTATTGCCTGATTAGTAGCCAGACATAGATATTCTCCTTTTCCATAGGCAGCCAGACATAAATACTCCTTTTGTAAATCTAAGATGGTCTTGAAGAATAACGATCCAACTATTGCTCAATAGGCAACCAGGCAAGCAGACATAGATACTCATTTTGTAGACCCAACATAGTCTTGAAGAATGATGATGCAACTGTTGCTTGATAGATAGCCAGACATAGACCCACGATGATCTTGAAGATTAACGATCCAACTAGTGTTCGATAGGCAACCAACATAGATGGTCATTTTGTAGACACAAGATGGTCTTGAAGATTAATGATCCAACTATTGTTCAATAGGCAGCCAGACATAGATTCTCCTTTTGTAGACCCAAAATGGTCATGAAGAATAATTATCCAACTATTTTTTGATAGGCAGCCAGACATAGATACTCCTTTTGTAGACCCAAGATGTTCATGAAGTATAATGATCCAACTATTGCTCGATAGGTAACCAGACCTAGATACTCCTTTTGTAGACCCAATATGGTCTTGAAGATTACCTGTCCAACTATTTTTCAATAGGCAGCCAGACATAGATACTCCTTTTGTAGACCCAAGATGTTCTTGAAGAATAACTATCAAACTATTGTTTGATAGGCAGCCAGACATAGATTCTCCTTTTGTAGACCCAAGATGGTCATGAAGAATAACGATCAAACTATTGTTTGATAGGCAGCCAGACATAGATTCTCCTTTTGTAGACCCAAGATGGTCATGAAGAATAATGATCCAACTATTGTTCGATAGGCAGTCAGACATAGATACTCCTTTTGTAGACCCAAGATGTTCATGAAGTATAATGATCCAACTATTGCTCGATAGGTAACCAGACCTAGATACTCCTTTTGTAGACCCAATATGGTCTTGAAGATTACCTTTCCAACTATTTTTCAATAGGCAGCCAGAGGTAGATACTCCTTTTGTAGACCCAAGATGGTCTTGAACTTTTGATTGATAGGTAGCCAGACATAGATACTTCTTTAGTTGTCAAAAGACAGGACATTAATTTTGAAGCGGAACTAAACCCACTTATCCTTTACAGTCAAGGAAGCTGCCATCTTGGTCTCTGTTTGATCTGCAGTTGCCATGGTGCTGCACATGTGATCAGTTATGACACCAGCCAGTTGATGGCATGTTGGGTTGAGAGCAGAATGAGCTATGACAGTTATCATTCACAGCATGCCTTAAATATACCGTTTTGAGACTCCGTTAAATTGATGGGTTTAGTTCCACTTTAAAGCAGAACTAAATCCATCAATTCAACAGTTTCAAAAACCAGTCACATTCCCGGCACGTGTCAGGAATCTAACTCATGTTTGCTTGTGCTCTCCACCAAACTGTCAAAACATCAAATATCTGGTGTCATAACGGATCACATGTGCAGCATCATGGCAGTTGTAGGCCAAACAGAGGCCAAGATGGCAGCTTCCATGTCTGAAAATGATAGGAGGGCAGTTCCACTTGAACATAGAGGCTTTAGATGAATTACAATGTTGTAAGCTCTTTGGACAATTTTCTAATCCTAAATAAATCTTCTGTTAACAGATGACTTAAAGCCTAAAAGTTCTGCAGTTTTTCATCCTACATTTCAGTCCGCCAAGGGCATAAGAGGAATTATTCCTAGGCCCATCCCACGGACAGAATACCTGACAATATATAACCCGAGTGAGAAGCCAGGCAGATCTGTGAGCACTGAGTCAGATGATTCCTCCTCGAGTGATGATGACGATGATGAAGATCTCCACAATGCTGAGCTCTACATACAGGCTCAGTACACGTCTTCTAATGCCCAAGTTCCAGAGTCTGACTCAAGTGATGAGGATGTCATCTACATATCCACCCAACACACTCAAACCAAACGTCCGATGTTCTATAGAAGAGAAGAACCAGTCTCTCGCCAAGAAATGAACCTTCAACACCTCTACATCCCTCGCGCCCTTGCCTACAGGCCAAGCCCAGTCCGCCAACCTCCCAAAGCCAACAACACTCCAAAAATGAGTGCCATGCTAATGAGGCACAACGAGCTCAACCGGGCCATTCACATGAAGCCAGCTCCAACTCCAACACTCCAGGCCATGCCGATGCCACGAAGGCTCTACAACTGTTCTGAATGTTCCAAGCTCTTCCCTACCAATGCAGACCTGATGAGACACCAGAGGCTTCATAAGAAGAAAAAGCTGACGTGCAACCAGTGTGGCAAAATCTTCCCGTACAAGTCGCACCTGATTCGCCACCAGAGCGTCCACACTGGGGAGCGGGCCTTTGTCTGCTCGGAGTGCGGTGAGAACTTCCTATGTAAGTCGCACCTGGTCACCCACCTGAGGATCCACACACGGGAAAAGCCGCTCGTCTGCCAAGACTGCGGCAAGCACTTCTCCTGCAATTCAGCACTCATAACCCATCGCAGAATCCACACTGGCGAGAAGCCATTCGTCTGCCCCATATGCGGAAAGGCCTTTGCCCAGAGCTCCAACCTTCTTTCCCACCAGAGAGGCCACACCGGCGTCAAGAAATTCATCTGCAGAGAGTGCGGCAAGAGCTTCGCACAGAAAAAACGACTTGAATAGACATTTGAAAATTCATAGAGGACAAATCGCATTTCCACAGATGTAGACGGAGTAGCTTTTCTTTTTTTTTTTTTTTTTTTTGTTTATGTTTTCTTTCAAAAATAAAAGCTTGTTAACCTTTCCAAGTGCCTCTTGCTATTAAACCCAGAGTTTAAAGCGTGCATCTGTACACTGTCATTGATGGATATATTCATGTGAGGGTCCTGCTCAAATTGTGGTCTCAATTTTGAAAACCCGTTAAGAGGTTTGGCCATCTGAAATTAGTATTTTTCTTTTGGCTAAGTGCCACTGGATTGAAACACCGGTCTGGCATCCAAATGGCACAGTTTGGTGTGCTGCCCTGTCTAGACCAGTTGTAGGCAACCTTCGAGAGGAGGAGATCTTCCGAAACAACATGATAGCGATCAAAGGTCACCAGGGTTTGGGCACCTTTTTGGGTTTTTTTAAGAAATTAATTAGCAAGGCCTAATTACATAGTAAGGGAAATATCATAGTAAGGAACCTTCTTTTTTCATTGTTGTTTTGTAGTAAGTCTGCCACGGATTGTGGGTTGCCTCTCTTCGTATCCTGTCATGGTGCCCGCACAGGAAATGAGTGGACACACATGGCAATAAAACCCAACAGATAACGCTTTATCACTTTGTCCAAAACTGAGACAAAAGGATTTGGCTGTAGTTGGGTTAACCTCCACAGGACCAAGCTATCAGTAGCGATACTCGAACCTCTTCCATCGCTTGCAAGAACTGGGATTTATATGACCCCATGAGTATTAGTATCTAATGGTGTCCTCCTGAGAGTACTAGCCCTAGCAGTGTAATACAAAAATGTGAGGTGGCTATGCAGTCATGAAGAATCATTATGCTCCTCACCTGTGGATTATTGTCTCATGGCCTGGTTGCCAAAGACTTGGCAGATAATTCCGTGGATGTGCAGCACAACTGTATGGGCTCTCCACAATATTGGTATCCAGTGCTCTTCCCGAAAGACCCTCTCTGTCAAGTTTGGCCAGTAACCCGTTTGAAAAGCATTGGGCTTTGCAGTCTACACGGACAAGGCTAATTTAGCCATTAGATATTGAGCCAGATTGGCAGATGTCATCTTCAGGGATTCAGGTTACCAGCCAAAAACATTGAAGAAGCCATATGTAGACCTTCATCTCTGTTGGCCTGTGCTGGCCGTGTGATGTACATATCTTCATGTAATAGTTAAACCAAAATGTGAGCTTTAGATGAAATTTTCGATACCTAAAGATTAAAAAAAATCCACAGTAAAGGAACTTATAACAGTTTCAACTGAGGTTGTATCTCCTCCTGTATCCCATGTATTCACATACTTTGGATAAAGAGAGATAGACATTCAGATAGATTAATAGCAATTAAACTTGATAAAAAAAAAATGTTTGAACAAAATAAAATGTAAAAAAAATGTTTTGAATGCACCCACGCGGTGGTGCCACGTGCATATGTAAACGCCGATCACACCACACATGTGAGGTATCGTCGCAAACGTCACAGAAAGAGCGATAATCCCAGTACCAGACCTCCTGTGTAACTGGTAACCCGCCAAGGCGTTTAAAACCATCGCCTATGGAGACTTTTAGGTACCGTAGTTCGGCGTCATTCCACAGGCGTAGGCAAGGGCAACATGTTTGGTATCTATTTACTCGGCGTAACATCATCTTTTATATTTTACCAAACAGCTGGGTATTATTTTGTGTTTTAAAATGTATTTTTGTAAAAAAGTTTACGTGTGAAAAATGACTGCACAAATATCACGTGACATAAAAATATGCAACGCCCACCATTTTATTCTCTTGGGCCTCTGCTTAACTGCTTCCTGTCTGCCCTATTGCAGTAATACTGATACAGGGCGGCAGGGGGGGGCACAAAATCACATATATATGAGCGACTTTGCATTTCCCGGTAGGGGGGCGCACGGGAGCCTCATGTGCGCCCTACCTGCGCCGCTATTCGTGGCCTCAGCTGTCAATCACCGGGTCCCGGCCGGTGATTTAGGAGCATTATCGATGGAGGGAGAGAACTGTAAATAAACAATACAGATCTCTCCCATCAGCTCCTGCACACTGCTACACATGGCAGAGCCATGCATAGCAGCATGCTCACAGTGAAACACACACAGCACACAGTTAACCCTTTGATCGTCCCACATGTTAACCCCTTCCTGCCCAGTGCCATTAGTACAGTGTCAGTGCTTTTTAGCACTGATCACTGTATTGGTGTCACTGGGGATGTCAGTGACACCAAATCAGAATGCCCGCCGCAGTCCCACTAAACGCTATAACTTTCACGTAAACCAATTAATTTAGAACAAAAAATGGTGAAGCGCTATGCAAATGCAACAAATCAGTGTATATACACACAAATATAGGTGAATAAATATACATTAATAAGCAATAATTAAACCGTGAGACTCCAATCTTTTAAATAATATAGAGTGACGTGCTTAAAACAGCAACACACTGTGCAAAAACAAGTGCCTGGTCTGCCAATAAAAATATAAACGCACCAGGTTAAATGAAATATATATCCAAAATAGATATATACACATAAATAATATTAACATGAGACTCCAATCCTTGAAATAATACAAAGTGACCCGTGCTTAAAAACAGCAACGCACTGTAAAAAATGCCTGGTCTGCTAAACAGGACCCTGAGGAAGCCACATGTCCTATCATGGTGTAACGCGTAGAGAGCATGTGCAGTGACACATATCTAATTTTTGGTATATATTTCACTCTACCTGGTGTGTATACATATTGTTTAGCAGACCAGGCATTTTTTACACAGTTTGTTGCTGTTTTTAAGCACGGGTCACTTTGTATTATTTCAAGGATTAGAGTCTCACGTTAATATTATTTATGTGTATATATCTATTTTGGGTATATATTTCATTTAACCTGGTGTGTTTTATATTTTTTATTGGCAGACCAGGCACTTGTTTTTGCACAGTGTTGCTGTTTTAAGCACATGTCACTCTATATTATTTAAAAGCTTGGAGTCTCACGTTTTAATTATTGCTTATTAATGTATATTTATTCACCTATATTTGTGTGTATATACACTGATTTGTTGCATTTGCATAGCACTTCACCATTTTTTTTTTATAATTTACACATCCTGAGGTATAGGGAATAGGTGATAGCAGCTGGCTATTTATTAGGTAATTTCATAGTTGAGTGCAGGAGGATATTTTAATTAATTTACACGTATTGGGATTTTTTTTTAGCAAAGACATGGAGCAGAATACATTTCGGCCTAAATTTATTACGAAATTTGATTTTTAAAATTTTTTTGCTGGACGTGTTTAACCACTTGCCAACAGCAGATAGCCAAATGATGGCTTCACTGCGGCCGGCCAGTTCTGGGAGGGCATCATATGACGTCCTCCCAGAACGCGCCCTCCCGCGCGCACCCAGTGTTCACAGCTGATCACGTGATGTGGTAAAAGGCCAATCGCAGCGGCCTTTTACCACGTGATCAGCCGTGTCCAATGACACAGCAGATCACCGGTAAATCGGTAAATGCAGTTGCCAGTTATCAGCTGCACTTTCCTCACGCTGTGACAGTGCCCTGATGATCAGTGCTACCCATCTGTGCCCATCAGTGCTGCCCCCCACCTGTGCCCATCAATGCCACCCACCTGTGCCCAGCAGTGCCACCCATCAGTGCTTCTAGTCAGTGCCCAGCAATGCCGCCAGTGCCGCCTATCAGTGCCCATCATTGTTGCATGTCAATGCCAGCTCATCAGTGCAGCCTATCAGTGCCCATCATTGTTGCATGTCAGTGCCAGCTCATCAGTGCCGCCTATCAGTGCCCATGATTGTTGCATATCAGTGCCAGCTCATCAGTGCTGCCTATCAGTGCCCATCATTGTTGCATATCAGTGCCACCTATCAGTGCCCATCATTGCTGCATATCAGTTCCAGCTCATCAGTGCCACCTATCAGTGCCTATCATTGTTGCATGTCAGTGCCCATCAGTGCAGCCTCATTAACGCACATCAGTGAAGGAGAAAAATTACCTGTTTGCAAAATTTTATAATAGAAACAAAGAAAAACTTTTTTTTTTTGCTCTTTTTTTGTTTATAACGCAAAAAATACAACCCCCAGCGGCGAGTACATACCACCAAAAGAAAGCACTATTTATGTGAAAAATTATAAAAATTTCATATGGGTACAGTGTTGCATGACCGCGCAATTGTCAAAGTGCAGCAACACTGAAAGCTGAAAATTGGCCTTGACAGGAAGGGGGTAGAAGGACCCGGTAGGCGAGGGGTTAATAGCAAAAAGTCAAAAATATTGTTTTTTCTCAAAATTGTAGTTTTTTATTTTATAGTGCAAAAAATAAAAACCACACAGGAGATCAAATACCACCAAAAGAAAGCTGTATTGGTGGGAAAAAAGGACAGAAATTTCATTTGGGTGCAGCGTTGCATGATGGCGCAATTGTCAAAGTAACGCAGCGCTGTAATGCAAAAAATGGCCTGGTCATGAAGGGGGGGGGGAATCCTTAGGAGGGCGAGGGAGGGGGAATCCTCTGGAGGGCGAGGGGTTAAAAATACACAATGTTTGGGGGTTCTAAGAAGTTGTCTAGGAAAAAAAAAATGACATCTAGGAAAGGTCAGAATTGGCCGGACTGGCAGCCTGCAGTTTTGGGGGTGACCTCTAGATGGCGGTGTACAGAACATTCGCTCCTGTTTCCGAACTGACTCCTCCACGGCACCGTAGGTCCATCCCACAGCCCCGCTCCCGCCGCTGCTCTCTTCCTCTCCGTGGATGAACACGGCGCGGGGTTCGTCGTCTTTGCGGAGACCGAGTGGTGCTCTGCAGCCACCGGGCGGACCCACAGTGCTCCCAGACTCGAACAGACGTGCCTGCGGTGAGCTGCCCTCACCAAACATGGCCGGGATCGGCCTCCTGACGGTTTTCTAGGCCATGCGGAAGGACGCAGTGCGCACGCACGCACGCACAGAAGTTTATCAGGTTACGCATGCGCAATGCTGTTTAAAGTTAGTCCTTTAGCCTGGCTGTCATGGAGGGCAGAGCCTGGGGTGAGTGCATGATGGGGGTTCATATATATATATATATATATATATATATATATATATATATATACAAATATCTGGAGTGGGGTCACTGACCTCTGCTCTGTTGGTCCCTAGCGGTTTCCTGTAACATGTCCCCGGTCTCCTCCCACTCCATAACATTTCCCAGGTCTCCTCCCACTTTGTAACATGTCCCCCAGACTCCTCCCACTCTGTAACATGTCGCCGGATTCCTCCCACTCCATACCTCATCCTCGGTCTTCTTTCACTCTATGTCCTCAGACTCACCCCACTTCATAACATTTCCCCTGTCTCCTCCCACTCCATCCCTTGTCCCCGATCTCCTCCCACTTTGTAACATGTCCTCAGACTCCTCCCACTCCATACCTTTTCCCCAGTCTCCTCCCACTCCATAATATGTCCCAAGACTCCTCCCACTCCATACCTTATCCTGGTCTCCTCTCACTCTGTAAAATGTCCCAAGACTCCTCCCACTCCATACCTTATCCTCGGTCTTCTTCCACTCTGTCCCCAGACTCCCCCCACTTCATAACATTTCCCCAGTCTCCTCCCACTCCATACCTTGTCCCTGATCTCCTCCCACTTTGTAACATGTCCCCAGTCTCCTCCCACTCCATAATATGTCCCAAGACTCTTCCCACTCTTACATTATCCCCGGTCTCCTCACTCTGTAACATGTCCCCAGACTCCTCCCACTCCATACCTTGTCCCCAATCTCCTCCCACGCAGTAATATGTCCCAAGACTCCTCCCACTTCATATCTTATCCCCGGTCTCCTCCCACTCTGTAACATGTGGCAGGACTCTTCCCACTCCATAATATGTCCCAAGACTCCTCCCACTCCATACCTTATCCCCGGTCTCCTCCCGCTCTGTAACATGTCCCCAGTCTCCTCCCACTCCATAATATGTTCCAAGACTCCTCCCACTCCATACCTTATCCCCGGTCTCCACTCCATAACCTGCCCCCAGTCTCCTCCCACTCTGTAACATATCCCACAGACTCCTCCCAGTCTATACCTTGTCCCTGGTCTCCACCCACTCTTTAACATGCCCTCAGTCACCTCCTACTCTGTAACATGTCCCCCAGGCTCCTCCCAGTTCATACCTTGTCCCTGGTCTCCACCCACTCTGTAACATGCCCCCAGTCTCCTCCCACTCTGTAACATGTCCCCCAGACTCCTCCCAGTCCATACCTTGTCCCTACTCTCCACCCACTCTGTAACATGTCCCCAGTCTCCTTCCACTTCAGTAACAAATCCCTAGTCTCCTCCCACTCCTGCAACATTTCCCTAATCTCCCACTGTAATGTCTCCAGGCTCTTCCAACTATGTAACCTGTCTCCAGTCTTCTCCCACCATGTAATATGTTCCCAGTCTCCTCCCACTCTAACATGTTCCCAGACTCCTCCCACTCTAACCTGTCCCCAGACTCCTCCCATTCTGTAACCTGTCCCCAGACTCCTCCCACTCTGTAACCTGTCCCCAGACTCCTCCCACTGTAACCTGTCTTTAGTCTCCTCCCACTCTGTAACCTGTCCCCAGTCTCCTCCCATTCTGTAACCTGTTCCCAGTCGCCTCCCATTCTGTAACCTGTCCTTAGTTTCCTCCCACTCTGTAACATGTTTCCAGTCTCCTCCCACTCTGTAACATGTCTCCAGTCTCCTCCCACTTTGTAACATGTTCCCATGTCAATAGTGGGAGTATTAACTTGTCCTGGGGGTGATCTATATCTAATAATTTCCCTTCCAATAGGTTCACCACCAGGATCGGGGTGCAGAGAAACCATCCAGTTTGATGGGAAGATCCCAGTAGTTGGCTCCATACAAAATGTGCCATTGAAGAGCTAGCCATCTCCCAGAATCCCTTGTGGTAGGCCTTATAAAGAGTTGAAGGGGCGTATACCAGTAGCTCCGGCCATGGAGGACAGCGATAGGGCAGAGTCTGAATGCATCTCTACTGGTGGTGAGGAGGACTCCTTCTCTGAGACGGACTTTGAAGAAGATGGAAAGACAACAAGCCAACGGAAGGCCAAGTTTTCCTGCCCTGAATGTGGGAGGAGCTTCCTTTCCAACTCTCTGCTCACCATCCACCAGAGGACCCATACAGGAGAGCGACCTTATGAGTGTTCAGAGTGCGGCAAACGCTTCACTCAAAAACAGCACCTGCAGGTCCATCAGCGCACCCACACCGGGGTGAAGCCGTACCGGTGCGACGAGTGCGGGAAAAGATTCGCTACAACAACAAGCCTTTCGATGCACGAGAAGGGCCACACGGGAGAAAGGCCGTTCCAGTGCTCTGAATGCGGCAAAGGTTTCACCATGAAGCACTTGCTCCATCGGCACGAGATGAACCACACAGGCGCCAAGCCGTTTCCTTGTTCCGAATGTGGCAAAAGCTTCCCGACCATGCCTCGCCTACGAAGCCACCAGCTGACCCACACTGGAGAAAAGCCCTACGAATGTCCAGAGTGCGGGAGACATTTCTCTACCAACTCGCACCTCTACAGCCACAAAGCCACCCACACCGGAGAAAAGCCCTTCAAATGCTCTGAGTGCGGAAGAGGGTTTGCCCGCAGGAGCCACCTACGTGGCCACCAAACTGTCCACACCGGAGAGAGGCCGTTCGCATGCAGTGAATGCGACAAGAGGTTCGCTGTAAAAAATGGACTCCTTAAGCACGAAAAAATGCACACGGGTGAAGCCAAGAGCAAGCGCTCCAAGAATGACGAGGAGAACGGCATCCTCGAGAAAGTTCTTGATGGCAAGAGAGCCTTTGAGTGCTCCGAATGCGACAAGCACTTCTTTCGGAAGAGTCACCTGAAACAGCACAAGAAGATACACACCGGTGAGAAGGCCTTCCAGTGCCAAGAATGTGGGAAGCAGTTCACGCAGAAGGTGGCCATGGTCAACCACGTGCTGAGGATGCACGGCAAAGAGAAGACATTCCATTGCTCAGAATGCAGCAAGTCCTTCTTCCTGAAGGAAGAGCTTAGAAAGCACGAAAAGACTCACACCGGAGAGAAACCATTCACCTGCTCCGAGTGCGGGAAAGGATTCCGAGACAAAGCCCGCTTGGTGGTCCACCAACGGGGCCACACCGGTGAAAAGCCATTCACTTGCCCTGATTGCGGGAAAGGCTTCAGCGACAACGGAAACCTCGCCCGACATCGGAAAACCCACGCTGGTCATAAACCATTCTCATGTTCTGAGTGTGGGAAATCTTTCCTTCGCAACGCTCAACTTCTCTCCCACCGGAGGTCCCACACAGGCGAGAAACCCTACGCGTGCTCAGAATGCGGCGAAGGCTACAAAGATAGGGGCAGCCTTGCCAAGCACCAGAAAAACCACCTGGGAACAAACCGTTTGCCTGCTCCGAATGCGGGAAATGCTTCTCTATCAACTCCGAGCTGACGAGACATAAAATGACCCACAGCGACGAGAGGCCGTTTTCTTGCTCAGAGTGCGGAAAATGTTTTAGAGACAAGAAGAGCCTAGTCTTGCACCATCGGAGCCACACCGGGGAAAAGCCTTACGAGTGCCGGGAATGCGGGAAATGTTTCAGCTGCAACGGGAACCTTAGGGCCCACGAGCGGATACACACGGGTGAGAAGCCCTACGCTTGTCAGGACTGCGAGCTGTCCTTTACCTCTGGCTCTGGGTTGGTTGCTCATCGGAAAGTCCACTAGTCAAGTGTGGAAGATGAATTGTAGAGGGAGATGCCAATAACTCAGTCCCTGATTGGAGGTTATAATTTATATCATGCCCAAAAGTCTCTTCCAACACAGCTCCCCTCTTCCCACCCAAAAATCGATAATGTTGAGTCCTACGTCAAAGTACAACTTGATTTGCTCTTCTTGGGACTCATGTGTAGATGAAAGTAGACATCACCTTTAAGCTTTTGATACATGATTAAAAGTTATATTTCCACATAAATCCAGAGTTGTTTTGTCTCTAGATTTGGGTGAGCTGAGATGGGCTTTAGACTTCGGGTACCTGCTTGCTCTCTGTCCTGAAATCTTGCAGTCCCAGCACTCCACCATCTACACAGATGACCACATTTGTTGGCCTCATAGAAGTCTAGGGGGATCCCTTTGGTGGAGGAAGGAGTAGAGGTTTGGGATCTGAACTTTTTACCTGCAGATGTGTTGGTGGGCTTAGAGGTATAAGGGTCCCTGTCTTGGTATGTTGCCATCATGCGGTTCCTCGTTGACTTGTACAGTTTAAACAATTAAAATTGCCCACCAGCTATATGTAGATTTAAAGGCTGATGTCCAGACAGGGGCTTCTCATAGCTCCTCAGATGTTCTCTTGGGTTCCAGACACACTCAGTTGATGGCAGACTTCAAAGAGTAGATCGTGGAAATGGACTTTAAATGGGTGCACCCAAGGACATCTAGCTGGATAACAAAGATCTGGAACCCTTAATCATCTAGTCCAGTGGTTTCCAAACTGTAGTCCGGGGGCCAGATGCGGCCCTTTGCTTGTCTGTATCTGGCCTTTGGGGCACTATTCCTCCCACTGACAACAACAATGGGGAACTATTGCTCCACCTCACACCAGTAATGGAGCACCATTCCTCCAACTCACACCAGTAACGGAGCACCATTCCTCCAACTCACACCAATAATGGAACACCATTCCTCCCACTGACACCAATAATGGAGCACCATTCCTCCCACTGACACCAATAATGGAGCACCATTCCTCCCACTATTACCATCAATGGGACACTATTCCTCCCACTGACACCAGTGATTGGGCACTATTTCTTCTTCTGATACCAATAATGGGGCACCATTCCTCCCACTGACAATGTTGGGACACTATTCCTTCCACTGATACTATCAATTGGCACTATTCCCTCCAATTACACCAATAATGGGGCACCATTCCTCCGACTGACACCAACGTTAGGACACTATTCCTTCCATTGGTACCAATGGTGGAGCACTATTCCTCCTACTGACACCAATAATGGGGCACTATTCCTCCCACTGATACCATCAATGGAGCAATATGCCTTTCAATTACACCAATGATGGGGCACTATTCCTTCCACTGACATCGATGATGGGGCACTATTCCTTCCACTGACACCGATGATGGGGCACTATTCCTTCCACTGACACCAATGATGGGGCACTATTCCTTCCACTGACACCAATGATGGGGCACTATTCCTTCCACTGACACCAGTGATCGGGCACTATTTCTTCCACTGACACCAACGATTGGGCACTATTTCTTCCTCTGACACCAATAATGGGGCACTATTCCTCCCACTGACCAATGATGGGGCACAATTCCTCCCACTGACAACAATGTTGTGACACTATTTCTTCCACCGATACCATTAATGGGGCACTGTTCCACCCGCTGACACCAATAATGGGGCACCATTCCTTCCACTGACACCAATGTTGGGACACTATTCCTCCCACTGATACCAATGATGGGGCTTTTTTCCTTCCACTGATATCAATGATGGGGAACTATTCCTCCCACTGACACTAAGGATGGGGCACTATTCCTCCCTCTGACACCAAGGATGGGGCACTATTCCTCCCACTGACACTAAGGATGGGGCACTATTCCTCCCACTGACACCAAGGATGGGGCACTATTCCTCCCACTGACACCAAGGATGGGTGTCAGGAATGGACTCGCCAATGGTGGTGGGACCCACCTGCCTTGTGGGCTGCAGTCCCAAGGCTGGCCAGCGGGTGCTCTCAGCAGCCAGAATCTCACTCCTGCAATCAGGCCATCACCTGAGGGTTATTGCAGGAGGTGTATTTAAGCAGGACCAGGCCTGTGATCAGTGCCTTGGTGTATGTTTCCCATGAGCCCCTGTACCTGCATCCTGTCTGCTTCCTGCCTTATCCTGCTCTGAACCTGACTCTGAACGAACTCTGCCTGTCCTGACTTCGGCTATTCCACTCCTCCGCTCGCTCCTGGTACCCTGTTTGCCCGTTAGCTACCGACCCGGCCCGCCTGACTACTTTGTGCTCTATATACATATATATATATATCAGTTTAGGTTTGGGTTTGTTTCACCTTGTTGTATGTATTTGTGTTAGTTTTGGGTTTGGTTTGTTCCACTGCGTTTGTGTTGTCCTTAATAAATTGTCTTGTTTACACGCTATACCTGAAGTCTGTGTTTCCCTGTGTCGGTCCACACACCTCTGGTCATTCCCGGAGCCCTGACATTACCCCAAGGCCAGTCCTTACCAGAAGTGGCTGCACAGGGAAGCCATCTTGGTATATTGTTGTGAAGGATGCACCCTGAGGATGTTGTGTATTTGTCTCTGCTGTCTTAGATGACAGAGATTATGCCTATCAGACTCTGCAGGAGTATACCAGGGATCAGCTGCTAGAATGCATACGGATCGCTCATTTCCTAGTAGATCAGGGCATGGAGTTCTGAGGTGCAACCATTGATTCAGGTTTGTGCAGAGTTGGCTTCATCTGGTACCCCTGAAAGCAGGGATGACTTTTTGCCGCTATTTAGTACAGACCAAGTAGAGTCACTGGTATGATTATTGGAGGATGATCCGGATTGCTTCTTGGAGCATTATTCAGCATGTTCACAACAGGTGCTAATGGATTGTATAAACGCAGTGCAGTCTTTGGTCAGACAGGCTATGTGTAAGCTGAGCTTTGTTCAACCAATAGTACAGTCCTGGTCAGACTTGTTACACCTAGCCTCAGGCAGCTTGCAACAAACCCGTCCTGCTTCTAATCATTCCTCTGCTCAAAGCTCTACTCCTGCATTCCCGACAGCACCCCGAGTGACAGCCCAATATACCCTGTTATCTACCATATGTCAGTACCCTGTTCCCACTTGCTGCACCTATCCTGCCTTTAACCCTGTAAAAAAAGCCGCTGTAGCAACTATTCCCTCCTCTGTTCCATCCTCCAGCTCTTCTCTTTCTCCAGCTACTGCCTCCATTTACAGACCTGCATTTACTTGCAGTACCCCAGTAACTAAACCCAAGAAGAAGTGAAAATTCTTTCCAACCAGTACCATCCTACCAGTATCCAAACCGGTTAGCCTGCCGTCTGTGAACCCAGCTTCTGTTGTTCAGCCTGATGACCCAGTGTACGCTACCCAGCCTGATGATCCTATCCAGCTTCATGATCTGGTGCCTGCTACCCAGCCTGATGGCCCGATCCGGCCAGATGACTCGGTGCCCGCTGTTCTGTCAGATGACTCGGTGCCCGCTGTTCTGTCAGATGACTCGGTGCCCGCTGTCGAGCTTGGTGACTCGGTGCCCACTGTCGTGCCAGATGACTCGGTACCCGCTGTCGTGCCAGCTGACTCGGTGCCCGCTGTCAAGCTTGGTGACTTGGTGCCCGCTGTTCTGCCAGATGACTCTGTGCCCGCTGTCGTGCCAGATATCTCGGTGCCCGTTGTCGTGCCAGATGTCTCGTGCCCGCTGTCGTGCCAGATGACTCGGTGCCCGCTGTTGAGCTTGGTGACTCGGTGCTTGCTGTCGAGCTTGGTGACTCGGTGCCCACTGTCGTGCCAGATGACTCGGTGCCCGCTGTCGAGCCAGGTGACTCGGTGCCCGCTGTCGAGCTTGATGGCCCGCTGCCTCGTCTGATGGCCCGGTGCCCGCTGCCCAGCCTGATGTGCCTCTATCCGCTGCCCAGCCTGATGTGCCTCTGTCCGCTGCCCAGCCTGATGTGCCTCTGTCCGCTGCCCAGCCTGATGTGCCTCTGTCCGCTGCCCAGCCTGATGTGCCTCTGTCCGCTGCCCAGCCTGATGTGCTTCTGCCCGCTGCCCAGCCTGATGTGCCAGCTCCTGATATCCAGCCAGTTACCTGACCCAGGCGGTGGAATATTTTGCCCACTAAGGACTGTTTGGATCATCCTGAAACCGCTCCTTGAGGGGGGGGTACTGTCAGGAATGGACTCGCCCGTGGTGGTGGGACTCACCTGCCTTGTGGGCTGCAGTCCCAAGGCTGGCCAGCGGGTGCTCTCAGCAGCCAGAATCTCACTCCTGCAATCAGGCCATCACCTGAGGCTGATTGCAGGAGGTGTATTTAAGCAGGACCAGGCCTGTGATCAATGCCTTGGTGTATGTTTCCCATGAGCCCCTGTACCTGCATCCTGTCTGCTTCCTGCCTGATCCTGCTTTGATCCTGACTCTGAACGAACCCCGCCTGTCCTGACTTCGGCTATTCCTGACCACTCTTCCGCTCGCTCCAGGTATCCTGTTTGCCCATTAGCTACTGACCCAGCCCACCTGACTACGTTGTGCTATATATATATATATATATATATATATATATATATATATATATATATATATATATATATATATATATCAGTTTAGGTTTGGGTTTGTTTCACCTTGTTGTATGTATTTGTGTTAGTTTTGGGTTTGGTTTGTTGCACTGCGTTTGTGTTGTCCTTGATAAATTATCTTTTTTACACGCTATACCTGAAGTCTGTGTTTCCCTGTGTCGGTCCACACACCTCTGGTCATGTCCAGAGCCCTAACATTGGGGCACTATTCCTCCCACTGACACAATTGATGGAGCACTATTCTTCCCACTGACACCATCAATTGGGAACTATTCTTCCCATCAAACCAATGA